AGAATTCACCAGAGCAGTACAGAGACGCTGTCACAGAAACACCGGAAATGACACAACTCGCTTACCGCAATACGTCAGCACGTGAGATCCTCCAGGATGAGACGTGTGATGCTTGCATGTCTGTTCAATGTTTGTCCAGTTGTGGACAAAGTACTCAGGAATATCACAACAAAGAACAAAAACTCAGTCACAAGTAAAAGTGCTGCATACCAAATCTGACTTGAGTAAAAGTGTATTGTCAGCAAAATGTAGGACTACTTAAAATTAAAAGTTCAAAGTACTCATGATGCAGTGTGACCCAATTTCAAGTGTTGTGATCATCATATACATGAATATGTACTCAGTATTAATTGATCAACGTCAGCTACATGTAAGCAGCATTTAAATGTTGTCATGGTAGAACTAATTTTAACACCTGTCACTGGTGTACTAGTCTAATCTATAACAACACACAGCAACTTGTAAATATGAAACTTACAACTTATAAAACAAACTATCTGAAAAGTAACTATAGCTATCAAATAAATATAGCTTGAGTAGAATGTACAGTATTTCCCTCTAAGTAAATGGAAATACCCAAAGTACATCAAATTTGTACACCCTAATAAATAAAACATTGGGTCAACAAAAAAAAATATGTTAACGTTTTCCACTAGAATTTTTAAGTTAAGCCAACTGCTGGCAGAATTACATTAATTCAAAGCAATGTTTTGAGTATGGTGAAGTAGCTTTTTTGGCCACAATAAAACACCTTTCTAAGTAACATGAACTTAATAATTGTCAACATGAATGCAAGTACTTAAGTTGATCCAACATAATGTTTTAAGTATGGTGAAGTAGCTTTTTGGCCACAATAAAACACATTTCTTAGTAACATGAACTTAATAATTGTCAACATGAATGCAAGTACTTAAGTTGATCCAACATAATGTTTTAAGTATGGTGAAGTAGCTTTTTGGCCACAATAAAACACATTTCTTAGTAACATGAACTTAATAATTGTCAACATGAATGCAAGTATTTAAGTTGATCCAACATGTTTTAAGTATGGTGAAGTAGCTTTTTGGTCACAATAAAAACACATTTCTAAGTAACAGGAACTTAATAATTAAGTTGATCCCTGTAAGAGTTAAGTTGAGCCCTGTCCTTTAATAAGGGCATTTTCCTGTGTTTCCCAGGAGGCTAAGTTGCTCAAAACTCCAACCTTGGTTGTTTGGTTGTCTCTTAGAACCTTGACTGCTTTGTGGGCGGGCTCCTCCATGGTGGAGCCCGCCCACAAAGCAGTCAAGGTTCTAAGAGAGTTGGAGATTTTTGATGATGATCAGACTTTTTTCCAAATGATATTCAGGCTTACCATGTGTTGTGTCTGCTCTTGTGTCATGACCTTCAGAAAAGGAATCCCCCAGAAATGAGGTGTAGCTACACAGCCTTGCTGTCTTTGTGAAGCAAGAAGCAGTTAAAATCAAATGATTATAACACAATCTGAGGAAGATGAGGATGGTGTGTGCGTTTCTGTTTGTTTGAGGGTGGCTGAGGGAAAACAGCTGACAGCAAGGAGATGACAAATACCTTCTGAAAGGTTGCTATGAGTATTTAGAGGCATGAGGGCGATGTCAAAACCTGGCAACGGGACAGCAGCTAAGGGACTCTTTCCTGGTGCTCAAAAAGAACAGAAATTCAGACAGTATTATTCAAATGAATTAGAACCATTTATTCAAATTACAGTAACAGTAAAAAAAAGTAGCACAATTCTTAAAAGTGCAAACAGCAGCATTTGTAGGCTACATTCTCCTGAGACACAAAACAACATGCACTCAGAAGCTTATGAGGAGGAACAGTGTTATAAATGAAGTAAAACCCAGTGCATGAATCACCATTCTTTGACTTGTACACATGAAAGTGATTCAAAACAAAAGATGACAGATGGCTGTACATTAAAGGCACTAATTTCAACATCAAATGAGCAAAGCTTCTTTCAATCAACTTTGGCAGTACTCTCACATCATCATCCTTATTCTCATCAATATCTGACTGTTCACCCTCCTGATTAACGCCAACAAAAGAAGGCACTGCATATAAAGTTCAAAATACACCAATACCCTCAGAGCACAGAGGTCATGGGAGAAATTAACCGTAGCTCAAAATCCTTAAAAAACGTGCAAACAGCAGCATTTCTAGGCTATATTCTCCTAAGACACAAAACATGAACTCAAAAGCTTATGAGGAGGAACAGTGTTATAAAATGAAGTAAAACCCAGTGCATGAATCACCATCCTTTGACTTGAACACATGAAAATGATTCAAAACAAAAGATGACAGATGGCTGTACATTAAAGGCACAAATTTCAACATCAAATGAGCTTCTTTCAATCAACTTTGGCAGTACTCACATCATCTCTTATCTCATCAATATCTGACTGCTCACCCTCCTGATTAACTCCAGCAAAAAAGGCACTGCATATAAAGTTCAAAATACACCAACACCCTCAGAGAACGAGGCCATCCTTTTCAATTCTGATTACACTGATTTGGTTTTCACTCAGTAGGTATTCATACTATCTCAGAAAAAAAGAACAAGCGAGTTGTGTGTGTGAGTGTGTGTGTGTGTGAGTGATGTGAGCCTCTCCCTCACGCAAGGTCGATCAAGTCTGCTCTAGAAAATACCGTACTTGAGATTAATTACTTTAGAGCTGGCTTTTTGTCCATCGAGCTCAAGGCATAGCTTCTGGAATACCTCAAAGGTAAATTTCAAGCGCTTGGGATAGCTAAGGTTAAGAGCATAGATTACTCCCATCAGCAAAGCACAGGATCTGGCGACATCAATCCCCTGCAGGATCTTGGTTCCCTCGACTACGATGGTTGCGTGCCCATCACCAATAATGACAATCTTCATCACTTGCATTGCAAGGTCTGCGTCGAGCTCCTCCACATCCTTGTAGAAGAAATTAAAAGGTGTTAGGATGTATAAAATACATAGCTCAAGCTCTTCAGGGTATACTTCAGCGCCTAGCCCACAGGAGGCTGGTGCACGGGATTGAAACGGCCATATCTCCACGCGGGAAGGCTACAGAGACATGCAGTTCAAACAAAATTAAAAATTAAAAGCGTACTCAATTACTTACGCGGTACTGTTTGAAAAGGTCCTCCTCCTTCTCTCCAAGATAGACTATGAGGCAGCGAATGGCAATTTCTCTGCGCTTTTCAACTGTGTTGTCCTGATTCATGGAAAAAATAGATCAGGTGTTCAATAAAAATCAGATGCAAGTGTAACCCAAATAATGACAATTTGAAAAAAATGAGTGTTAGTATACAATAGACCTTGTTCATAGCATCCATTTTGACATTTGGCATGAAAACAGTGAGGCAGATTAAAATAAAGGTCTATTCATAATAAAGTTAGTCATTATACCTCAAGAAGCATGTCCTTAATGTGCTTTATCTTCAGGCCTGCAGCTCCTCCTTTTGATTGGGTCAAGGCCATCAGTTTCGGGGTGCATTGGTCAAGCTTGGCCAGAAAGGTCGATTCAAGGCTGACTGTTGTTATCCTCTTGAATTCTTCACTTATCTGCAGGGCACACCAGTATGAAGGACCACAAGTGACATAAGTATAAATAAATAAATGCAGAAATAAATATTTAAATGTGTATTTGTACACATTTAAATGTTTTGGGTCTTAATGTATTTATTTCTACATTTCTTTATTTATTTTACTTCAATTTGTGGACGTGTATCCACAATATATCAATCCACAGCACAAAAATACTGGTTTAATAAACATTTTATAATCTCACCTGTGCCTCACTAAAAAGTGCAGGCCAGCGCTTCATGAAGTCACTGATGGCAGGGGCCTCTTTCACTATTTCCTCCCGACGAAGGCTGAACGTCTTGGCCATTTTCTGAGCTACCACCTTGGAGTTGTCCCTTTTCATCACTTCACTTAGGAGCTCGACTCTCTCTTTTTCCAAACTTGCCGTAGTTTCACCTTGAGCATGAGGGGGTAGGTAGTTCACCTCAGCCTTCTTTGGTTTTTTCACATTCTTTGCCGGATACTGGTCATGTGTTGTTTTCCTCTTGAGTGAGTTCACTTCAACTTCAGGGCAGCTGAGACCTTGAAGTTTGCTTCTGAAATTGTTCATCTTATATTTTAGGCACTGCGCCCATCCATAGGACCCATTAAAGGACCCTGGTTCTTTGAGGCAGGGATGCTTTTGAGTCAGGGCCTCTACAACCTCACTGATCTGCAGACTTGATGGATAAGCAGTGTACTCATAAATAGCCTCCGCTAGTTTTCCAAGGATGTCTGGGAGTAGTGGAATGAAATCTTTTGTAGGGAAAAGAGTCCCATATTTTTTGAAGCGCTCATTGGCTGACTGAATTTGGATCTCTGTGAGGCCAGAAAAGCTGAGAATCAGAAACTGAGCAGGCCAGCGCTGGGAACGGTGGCCTGGACTATCTTCAGATGATTAAAGAATCAGTGTGTCATTGGTTGACACAGATGAGGTGTCGTCAACATAGTGCTCCTCACAAGGCTGATCAGTCACGTTGGTCACATCAGTTAAGGTTAAAGTTATTGTAGGCTCCTGGTCCTGGAGAAACACAACCTTGATTGTGTCCTTATCCTTGAGGTCAGCTGTAGAAAAAAAAGGTGAAAAACTCATCACCAAAATCAACATCTTTATAGTGAAGACGGACGTCTCTAGCCATGGAAAATGTATCACGAATGTCTGAGTGAAGGTCATCCACCGTCTCAGGGATTCCAGATGGTAGTACAACTTTACGGACATCATGATCTGCAAGGATCACTCGGAGTTGAGCCAGTTGTGACATTATGCAACCTGTAGACAAAATGTTTGACATGTTTCAGTAATTTTTAGTAACAGCTAAATGGTGAATAATGTTAAGAGCATATAATATTTGACCTCTAGCTATGGAAATCAGGAACACATTTACTATATGCCAAGTCTGAAAACAGTAGGAAGACTGTGATATGCGAGTTTGTATCATTTCATCTGAAAATCTCCACCAAATATGGGCACCATCTATGGAACATAAATGCTGCGCTTAAGAGTCATAATGCTTGTTCCACCAAAGATGTAAGATATTAAGGGGAACATGTCTGATAGCTCAGCTGGCTCTATGACTTTCACAGGACCGTTTTTCTCAAGCACAAAACTCCTCAGATGCTCAACTGACCAAGCAGTCAGACCTTTCACAATGAATCCAACGCTGCCCTTCACAACCACAATCTGGATCAACTCCCCAAAATCTGGTAGACCACCAGTGGAACCATTAGCCAAGATCATTCCACTAGTGTACTTGGTGCCCCTGTAACACACACTTTTGGCTATCTGGACACATGCCTCACCAGGAAACTTAGCCTGCAGTGCTTCTTGGATATCCTCTCTCAGCACACTAACATCCACTGTAGACAGTGTTGTAGCCTGTAGTAAAGGTCTGACAGCTCTGGAATCATGTTGGTTATAAGCAAGCAACAACTGATGCTTCATGGCGAGTGACAGCAGAATATTTCTAAAGCTATGAGTATGTCTGACAGCACGCTTGAAAAAGCTGTGCTTTGCCTCAAACTGCATTGTCCACAGTGACACCAGAGGACCATAAGCCCTGATCAGTTCTGGATAATGTTCCAGGAAATGGTGTTTTGGGATGAGGCATTGCTCTGGGAAAACCATGAGAAACCTGTGTTTATGCTCAGATATCTTACTATCCAGGAAGCAAATGGTCTCCTCTGTGTGGACTTGGTTTACAACAAGCTCAACAATGTCTTTGAGCACAAGAAGCACTTCCCATGCTGGGTCACCTTCAGGGATTTTCGATCCAACCATGAGTGGCAAGAGTCGCAGCAAAGCCCAGTTCTCGTGGGCATTGCCGCCCACACTTTTCCGTTGGGTAAAGTTCACAGGGACAGGCTGTGGTGCATCGGTTTTGTCTGACCATTTATAGGGGAACTCTTTGATGCATTTGTTCAGCTCTTCAAGAGTGAAGTATTTGTTCTGAATGAACACTCTTAGGCACAGTGCTATTTCTAGGGGCACTATACCTTCAAAGAGATCATGCAACACATCAGGCGGATACCCAGACAAAACATGAAAATATTTCAGTTTTGCTGTCAGTGCACACTGTCTCTTCACTCCATACACATGCATCAAACTATCATTCTCCTGTAAAGCCTGAATATGCAGTGTGTGTTGTTCTTTCGTTCTGGGTGGGAATGCCCCTGTTCTCACTTCACCATCTTGAAACTGTGACTTTTCACCTAGACAAAATCTGCAGACGTATGAACTGGAAAAGCTCTCAACAAATCCCCCCATAGAATGGGCACTGAGATTGTCTGCAACCACACTAAACACTGTGCCTTTGACTCTTCTGCCCAATGCTGGAACATACAGTCCTTCCTCCTCTAAGACCACAAGATCTTTGAGCAGTGGCTCCAACACAGCACTGTAACCAAATCTCTTCACATCCTCAGCCTTGCACAGAATTGCTAAGAAGATTGAGTTTAGTTCAGATCTGAGAAATGAGGGGACATCAGCTAACACCCAATACACAGCTGTGATTTTGTGTTTTTTCCTGGATGTACCAAGAGGATTGCAAATCTCAAAGTCATCCACATAAAGATTGAGAGCAATTGTAAGGTCACTTCCTGAGAACAGCTCATTGGTTTTGTAAAAGGTGCCGTCATGAAATGACTTGTACACAGTTCTGAGCTTCTGCCTCACTCAAGATCAGGTCCTGTATATCTTTCCTGCTAAAAACCTGAAGTAAAGACTTTAGAATGGGGACATACTGGAAGCTGCTCTCTCTACTAAGAACATACTCAATCGGTTCAACGACAGAAAAGTGTTCATTAAAATACTTTCTTCTTTTGAAGGCAGAGGAAAGACGACCACCATCACTTAGGGCAGAGCTAATAGGGTTAGCACCACAGATGTCGTTCACCATTTCAGACACAATGGCTTCATCAATTTCACACTTGTGTCTCTTCAAGCAAGACTGTAAAATGTCTTTCATGATGGGAGCAGAGGCTGAATGAGAAATAAAATGCAACTCCTCTACAAGCTCATCAATGCATTGGTTGGGTACATGAAACGAACTCTCTAATTTCAACATTAAATGAGCCAAGCTTCTTTCAATCAACTTTGGCAGTACTCTTACATCATCATCTCTAATCTCATCAATGTCAGACTGTTCACCCTCCTGATTAACTCCATCACTGCACTGATCTGCTTGTGAAGGGTTTTCATACCTCTTTAACACGTCATATTTGAACTCATCTAATGAGTGGGGAGTATGCTTGTGATTTCTATGCGAAGCAAAGGTTCCATAGATATTAGTTTTGAAATTGCAGTTTTTGAAAACACAGGTGACAGTTTCTTGCTTTTTCAAATGTTGATGGAGGTGTTCAAAATACTCTTTTTCAGTGGAGAATGTGCCCACATTACAGAACTGGCAACAGAAACTGAGTATTTCAGAGGTTCTCACTCTTGTTGAGTGAGTTGAGTGTTTCCTTGATATATGTGATTTCAGGCTACCCCATGATTTAAATGAACAAAAACAATCAAGGTAAGGACATGGCAGAGGTTGCACACCGGAGATATGACGTAACCTATAATGTTTCAACAACTCGTCTTTAGTAGGGGTCGCAAATTTACAGATTTTGCAAGGCCAATCCATATTTGATGTTTCTGTCTCACTCCATGCTTGTTCACACTTACTTCAGGAGGCTGACCACGTCTCAACTTGAACCCCTTGGTCCACGACACCAGGATACCAGGAGAAGATGAAGGCTGGAGTTTTTGTCCTTGCAAGGCACACGGCAAAGTAACTGAAGACTTAAGTAGGGACATCCCCACTTTCTTCAGGAAGCTGACCACGTCTCAACTTGAACCCCTTGATCCACGACACCAGAACACTGCATCACACCAGAAAGCCATGCCTGCGCACACACACACACAAGACAGTATTTTCAATTTCACTTGCGAGTCTTCAATACAGTGACTAAGTAAGTTTCACCTGTGTCTTCGTCACTAATTGTAGATGGAATCAGACCGCTCCTCACCTCAGGGGAAGGAGAAGGTGATGTCTAGCTTGTCCTGAGAGGCTGACCACGTCTCAACTTGAACCCCTTGATCCACGACACCAGAACACTGCATCACACCAGAAAGCCATGCCTGCGCACACACACACACAAGACAGTATTTTCAATTTCACTTGCGAGTCTTCAATACAGTGACTAAGTAAGTTTCACCTGTGTCTTCGTCACTAATTGTAGATGGAATCAGACCGCTCCTCACCTCAGGGGAAGGAGAAGGTGATGTCTAGCTTGTCCTGAGAGGCTGACCACGTCTCAACTTGAACCCCTTGATCCACGACACCAGAACACTGCATCACACCAGAAAGCCATGCCTGCGCACACACACACACAAGACAGTATTTTCAATTTCACTTGCGAGTCTTCAATACAGTGACTAAGTAAGTTTCACCTGTGTCTTCGTCACTAATTGTAGATGGAATCAGACCGCTCCTCACCTCAGGGGAAGGAGAAGGTGATGTCTAGCTTGTCCTGAGAGGCTGACCACGTCTCAACTTGAACCCCTTGATCCACGACACCAGAACACTGCATCACACCAGAAAGCCATGCCTGCGCACACACACACACAAGACAGTATTTTCAATTTCACTTGCGAGTCTTCAATACAGTGACTAAGTAAGTTTCACCTGTGTCTTCGTCACTAATTGTAGATGGAATCAGACCGCTCCTCACCTCAGGGGAAGGAGAAGGTGATGTCTAGCTTGTCCTGAGAGGCTGACCACGTCTCAACTTGAACCCCTTGATCCACGACACCAGAACACTGCATCACACCAGAAAGCCATGCCTGCGCACACACACACACAAGACAGTATTTTCAATTTCACTTGCGAGTCTTCAATACAGTGACTAAGTAAGTTTCACCTGTGTCTTCGTCACTAATTGTAGATGGAATCAGACCGCTCCTCACCTCAGGGGAAGGAGAAGGTGATGTCTAGCTTGTCCTGAGAGGCTGACCACGTCTCAACTTGAACCCCTTGATCCACGACACCAGAACACTGCATCACACCAGAAAGCCATGCCTGCGCACACACACACACAAGACAGTATTTTCAATTTCACTTGCGAGTCTTCAATACAGTGACTAAGTAAGTTTCACCTGTGTCTTCGTCACTAATTGTAGATGGAATCAGACCGCTCCTCACCTCAGGGGAAGGAGAAGGTGATGTCTAGCTTGTCCTGAGAGGCTGACCACGTCTCAACTTGAACCCCTTGATCCACGACACCAGAACACTGCATCACACCAGAAAGCCATGCCTGCGCACACACACACACAAGACAGTATTTTCAATTTCACTTGCGAGTCTTCAATACAGTGACTAAGTAAGTTTCACCTGTGTCTTCGTCACTAATTGTAGATGGAATCAGACCGCTCCTCACCTCAGGGGAAGGAGAAGGTGATGTCTAGCTTGTCCTGAGAGGCTGACCACGTCTCAACTTGAACCCCTTGATCCACGACACCAGAACACTGCATCACACCAGAAAGCCATGCCTGCGCACACACACACACAAGACAGTATTTTCAATTTCACTTGCGAGTCTTCAATACAGTGACTAAGTAAGTTTCACCTGTGTCTTCGTCACTAATTGTAGATGGAATCAGACCGCTCCTCACCTCAGGGGAAGGAGAAGGTGATGTCTAGCTTGTCCTGAGAGGCTGACCACGTCTCAACTTGAACCCCTTGATCCACGACACCAGAACACTGCATCACACCAGAAAGCCATGCCTGCGCACACACACACACAAGACAGTATTTTCAATTTCACTTGCGAGTCTTCAATACAGTGACTAAGTAAGTTTCACCTGTGTCTTCGTCACTAATTGTAGATGGAATCAGACCGCTCCTCACCTCAGGGGAAGGAGAAGGTGATGTCTAGCTTGTCCTGAGAGGCTGACCACGTCTCAACTTGAACCCCTTGATCCACGACACCAGAACACTGCATCACACCAGAAAGCCATGCCTGCGCACACACACACACAAGACAGTATTTTCAATTTCACTTGCGAGTCTTCAATACAGTGACTAAGTAAGTTTCACCTGTGTCTTCGTCACTAATTGTAGATGGAATCAGACCGCTCCTCACCTCAGGGGAAGGAGAAGGTGATGTCTAGCTTGTCCTGAGAGGCTGACCACGTCTCAACTTGAACCCCTTGATCCACGACACCAGAACACTGCATCACACCAGAAAGCCATGCCTGCGCACACACACACACAAGACAGTATTTTCAATTTCACTTGCGAGTCTTCAATACAGTGACTAAGTAAGTTTCACCTGTGTCTTCGTCACTAATTGTAGATGGAATCAGACCGCTCCTCACCTCAGGGGAAGGAGAAGGTGATGTCTAGCTTGTCCTGAGAGGCTGACCACGTCTCAACTTGAACCCCTTGATCCACGACACCAGAACACTGCATCACACCAGAAAGCCATGCCTGCGCACACACACACACAAGACAGTATTTTCAATTTCACTTGCGAGTCTTCAATACAGTGACTAAGTAAGTTTCACCTGTGTCTTCGTCACTAATTGTAGATGGAATCAGACCGCTCCTCACCTCAGGGGAAGGAGAAGGTGATGTCTAGCTTGTCCTGAGAGGCTGACCACGTCTCAACTTGAACCCCTTGATCCACGACACCAGAACACTGCATCACACCAGAAAGCCATGCCTGCGCACACACACACACAAGACAGTATTTTCAATTTCACTTGCGAGTCTTCAATACAGTGACTAAGTAAGTTTCACCTGTGTCTTCGTCACTAATTGTAGATGGAATCAGACCGCTCCTCACCTCAGGGGAAGGAGAAGGTGATGTCTAGCTTGTCCTGAGAGGCTGACCACGTCTCAACTTGAACCCCTTGATCCACGACACCAGAACACTGCATCACACCAGAAAGCCATGCCTGCGCACACACACACACAAGACAGTATTTTCAATTTCACTTGCGAGTCTTCAATACAGTGACTAAGTAAGTTTCACCTGTGTCTTCGTCACTAATTGTAGATGGAATCAGACCGCTCCTCACCTCAGGGGAAGGAGAAGGTGATGTCTAGCTTGTCCTGAGAGGCTGACCACGTCTCAACTTGAACCCCTTGATCCACGACACCAGAACACTGCATCACACCAGAAAGCCATGCCTGCGCACACACACACACAAGACAGTATTTTCAATTTCACTTGCGAGTCTTCAATACAGTGACTAAGTAAGTTTCACCTGTGTCTTCGTCACTAATTGTAGATGGAATCAGACCGCTCCTCACCTCAGGGGAAGGAGAAGGTGATGTCTAGCTTGTCCTGAGAGGCTGACCACGTCTCAACTTGAACCCCTTGATCCACGACACCAGAACACTGCATCACACCAGAAAGCCATGCCTGCGCACACACACACACAAGACAGTATTTTCAATTTCACTTGCGAGTCTTCAATACAGTGACTAAGTAAGTTTCACCTGTGTCTTCGTCACTAATTGTAGATGGAATCAGACCGCTCCTCACCTCAGGGGAAGGAGAAGGTGATGTCTAGCTTGTCCTGAGAGGCTGACCACGTCTCAACTTGAACCCCTTGATCCACGACACCAGAACACTGCATCACACCAGAAAGCCATGCCTGCGCACACACACACACAAGACAGTATTTTCAATTTCACTTGCGAGTCTTCAATACAGTGACTAAGTAAGTTTCACCTGTGTCTTCGTCACTAATTGTAGATGGAATCAGACCGCTCCTCACCTCAGGGGAAGGAGAAGGTGATGTCTAGCTTGTCCTGAGAGGCTGACCACGTCTCAACTTGAACCCCTTGATCCACGACACCAGAACACTGCATCACACCAGAAAGCCATGCCTGCGCACACACACACACAAGACAGTATTTTCAATTTCACTTGCGAGTCTTCAATACAGTGACTAAGTAAGTTTCACCTGTGTCTTCGTCACTAATTGTAGATGGAATCAGACCGCTCCTCACCTCAGGGGAAGGAGAAGGTGATGTCTAGCTTGTCCTGAGAGGCTGACCACGTCTCAACTTGAACCCCTTGATCCACGACACCAGAACACTGCATCACACCAGAAAGCCATGCCTGCGCACACACACACACAAGACAGTATTTTCAATTTCACTTGCGAGTCTTCAATACAGTGACTAAGTAAGTTTCACCTGTGTCTTCGTCACTAATTGTAGATGGAATCAGACCGCTCCTCACCTCAGGGGAAGGAGAAGGTGATGTCTAGCTTGTCCTGAGAGGCTGACCACGTCTCAACTTGAACCCCTTGATCCACGACACCAGAACACTGCATCACACCAGAAAGCCATGCCTGCGCACACACACACACAAGACAGTATTTTCAATTTCACTTGCGAGTCTTCAATACAGTGACTAAGTAAGTTTCACCTGTGTCTTCGTCACTAATTGTAGATGGAATCAGACCGCTCCTCACCTCAGGGGAAGGAGAAGGTGATGTCTAGCTTGTCCTGAGAGGCTGACCACGTCTCAACTTGAACCCCTTGATCCACGACACCAGAACACTGCATCACACCAGAAAGCCATGCCTGCGCACACACACACACAAGACAGTATTTTCAATTTCACTTGCGAGTCTTCAATACAGTGACTAAGTAAGTTTCACCTGTGTCTTCGTCACTAATTGTAGATGGAATCAGACCGCTCCTCACCTCAGGGGAAGGAGAAGGTGATGTCTAGCTTGTCCTGAGAGGCTGACCACGTCTCAACTTGAACCCCTTGATCCACGACACCAGAACACTGCATCACACCAGAAAGCCATGCCTGCGCACACACACACACAAGACAGTATTTTCAATTTCACTTGCGAGTCTTCAATACAGTGACTAAGTAAGTTTCACCTGTGTCTTCGTCACTAATTGTAGATGGAATCAGACCGCTCCTCACCTCAGGGGAAGGAGAAGGTGATGTCTAGCTTGTCCTGAGAGGCTGACCACGTCTCAACTTGAACCCCTTGATCCACGACACCAGAACACTGCATCACACCAGAAAGCCATGCCTGCGCACACACACACACAAGACAGTATTTTCAATTTCACTTGCGAGTCTTCAATACAGTGACTAAGTAAGTTTCACCTGTGTCTTCGTCACTAATTGTAGATGGAATCAGACCGCTCCTCACCTCAGGGGAAGGAGAAGGTGATGTCTAGCTTGTCCTGAGAGGCTGACCACGTCTCAACTTGAACCCCTTGATCCACGACACCAGAACACTGCATCACACCAGAAAGCCATGCCTGCGCACACACACACACAAGACAGTATTTTCAATTTCACTTGCGAGTCTTCAATACAGTGACTAAGTAAGTTTCACCTGTGTCTTCGTCACTAATTGTAGATGGAATCAGACCGCTCCTCACCTCAGGGGAAGGAGAAGGTGATGTCTAGCTTGTCCTGAGAGGCTGACCACGTCTCAACTTGAACCCCTTGATCCACGACACCAGAACACTGCATCACACCAGAAAGCCATGCCTGCGCACACACACACACAAGACAGTATTTTCAATTTCACTTGCGAGTCTTCAATACAGTGACTAAGTAAGTTTCACCTGTGTCTTCGTCACTAATTGTAGATGGAATCAGACCGCTCCTCACCTCAGGGGAAGGAGAAGGTGATGTCTAGCTTGTCCTGAGAGGCTGACCACGTCTCAACTTGAACCCCTTGATCCACGACACCAGAACACTGCATCACACCAGAAAGCCATGCCTGCGCACACACACACACAAGACAGTATTTTCAATTTCACTTGCGAGTCTTCAATACAGTGACTAAGTAAGTTTCACCTGTGTCTTCGTCACTAATTGTAGATGGAATCAGACCGCTCCTCACCTCAGGGGAAGGAGAAGGTGATGTCTAGCTTGTCCTGAGAGGCTGACCACGTCTCAACTTGAACCCCTTGATCCACGACACCAGAACACTGCATCACACCAGAAAGCCATGCCTGCGCACACACACACACAAGACAGTATTTTCAATTTCACTTGCGAGTCTTCAATACAGTGACTAAGTAAGTTTCACCTGTGTCTTCGTCACTAATTGTAGATGGAATCAGACCGCTCCTCACCTCAGGGGAAGGAGAAGGTGATGTCTAGCTTGTCCTGAGAGGCTGACCACGTCTCAACTTGAACCCCTTGATCCACGACACCAGAACACTGCATCACACCAGAAAGCCATGCCTGCGCACACACACACACAAGACAGTATTTTCAATTTCACTTGCGAGTCTTCAATACAGTGACTAAGTAAGTTTCACCTGTGTCTTCGTCACTAATTGTAGATGGAATCAGACCGCTCCTCACCTCAGGGGAAGGAGAAGGTGATGTCTAGCTTGTCCTGAGAGGCTGACCACGTCTCAACTTGAACCCCTTGATCCACGACACCAGAACACTGCATCACACCAGAAAGCCATGCCTGCGCACACACACACACAAGACAGTATTTTCAATTTCACTTGCGAGTCTTCAATACAGTGACTAAGTAAGTTTCACCTGTGTCTTCGTCACTAATTGTAGATGGAATCAGACCGCTCCTCACCTCAGGGGAAGGAGAAGGTGATGTCTAGCTTGTCCTGAGAGGCTGACCACGTCTCAACTTGAACCCCTTGATCCACGACACCAGAACACTGCATCACACCAGAAAGCCATGCCTGCGCACACACACACACAAGACAGTATTTTCAATTTCACTTGCGAGTCTTCAATACAGTGACTAAGTAAGTTTCACCTGTGTCTTCGTCACTAATTGTAGATGGAATCAGACCGCTCCTCACCTCAGGGGAAGGAGAAGGTGATGTCTAGCTTGTCCTGAGAGGCTGACCACGTCTCAACTTGAACCCCTTGATCCACGACACCAGAACACTGCATCACACCAGAAAGCCATGCCTGCGCACACACACACACAAGACAGTATTTTCAATTTCACTTGCGAGTCTTCAATACAGTGACTAAGTAAGTTTCACCTGTGTCTTCGTCACTAATTGTAGATGGAATCAGACCGCTCCTCACCTCAGGGGAAGGAGAAGGTGATGTCTAGCTTGTCCTGAGAGGCTGACCACGTCTCAACTTGAACCCCTTGATCCACGACACCAGAACACTGCATCACACCAGAAAGCCATGCCTGCGCACACACACACACAAGACAGTATTTTCAATTTCACTTGCGAGTCTTCAATACAGTGACTAAGTAAGTTTCACCTGTGTCTTCGTCACTAATTGTAGATGGAATCAGACCGCTCCTCACCTCAGGGGAAGGAGAAGGTGATGTCTAGCTTGTCCTGAGAGGCTGACCACGTCTCAACTTGAACCCCTTGATCCACGACACCAGAACACTGCATCACACCAGAAAGCCATGCCTGCGCACACACACACACAAGACAGTATTTTCAATTTCACTTGCGAGTCTTCAATACAGTGACTAAGTAAGTTTCACCTGTGTCTTCGTCACTAATTGTAGATGGAATCAGACCGCTCCTCACCTCAGGGGAAGGAGAAGGTGATGTCTAGCTTGTCCTGAGAGGCTGACCACGTCTCAACTTGAACCCCTTGATCCACGACACCAGAACACTGCATCACACCAGAAAGCCATGCCTGCGCACACACACACACAAGACAGTATTTTCAATTTCACTTGCGAGTCTTCAATACAGTGACTAAGTAAGTTTCACCTGTGTCTTCGTCACTAATTGTAGATGGAATCAGACCGCTCCTCACCTCAGGGGAAGGAGAAGGTGATGTCTAGCTTGTCCTGAGAGGCTGACCACGTCTCAACTTGAACCCCTTGATCCACGACACCAGAACACTGCATCACACCAGAAAGCCATGCCTGCGCACACACACACACAAGACAGTATTTTCAATTTCACTTGCGAGTCTTCAATACAGTGACTAAGTAAGTTTCACCTGTGTCTTCGTCACTAATTGTAGATGGAATCAGACCGCTCCTCACCTCAGGGGAAGGAGAAGGTGATGTCTAGCTTGTCCTGAGAGGCTGACCACGTCTCAACTTGAACCCCTTGATCCACGACACCAGAACACTGCATCACACCAGAAAGCCATGCCTGCGCACACACACACACAAGACAGTATTTTCAATTTCACTTGCGAGTCTTCAATACAGTGACTAAGTAAGTTTCACCTGTGTCTTCGTCACTAATTGTAGATGGAATCAGACCGCTCCTCACCTCAGGGGAAGGAGAAGGTGATGTCTAGCTTGTCCTGAGAGGCTGACCACGTCTCAACTTGAACCCCTTGATCCACGACACCAGAACACTGCATCACACCAGAAAGCCATGCCTGCGCACACACACACACAAGACAGTATTTTCAATTTCACTTGCGAGTCTTCAATACAGTGACTAAGTAAGTTTCACCTGTGTCTTCGTCACTAATTGTAGATGGAATCAGACCGCTCCTCACCTCAGGGGAAGGAGAAGGTGATGTCTAGCTTGTCCTGAGAGGCTGACCACGTCTCAACTTGAACCCCTTGATCCACGACACCAGAACACTGCATCACACCAGAAAGCCATGCCTGCGCACACACACACACAAGACAGTATTTTCAATTTCACTTGCGAGTCTTCAATACAGTGACTAAGTAAGTTTCACCTGTGTCTTCGTCACTAATTGTAGATGGAATCAGACCGCTCCTCACCTCAGGGGAAGGAGAAGGTGATGTCTAGCTTGTCCTGAGAGGCTGACCACGTCTCAACTTGAACCCCTTGATCCACGACACCAGAACACTGCATCACACCAGAAAGCCATGCCTGCGCACACACACACACAAGACAGTATTTTCAATTTCACTTGCGAGTCTTCAATACAGTGACTAAGTAAGTTTCACCTGTGTCTTCGTCACTAATTGTAGATGGAATCAGACCGCTCCTCACCTCAGGGGAAGGAGAAGGTGATGTCTAGCTTGTCCTGAGAGGCTGACCACGTCTCAACTTGAACCCCTTGATCCACGACACCAGAACACTGCATCACACCAGAAAGCCATGCCTGCGCACACACACACACAAGACAGTATTTTCAATTTCACTTGCGAGTCTTCAATACAGTGACTAAGTAAGTTTCACCTGTGTCTTCGTCACTAATTGTAGATGGAATCAGACCGCTCCTCACCTCAGGGGAAGGAGAAGGTGATGTCTAGCTTGTCCTGAGAGGCTGACCACGTCTCAACTTGAACCCCTTGATCCACGACACCAGAACACTGCATCACACCAGAAAGCCATGCCTGCGCACACACACACACAAGACAGTATTTTCAATTTCACTTGCGAGTCTTCAATACAGTGACTAAGTAAGTTTCACCTGTGTCTTCGTCACTAATTGTAGATGGAATCAGACCGCTCCTCACCTCAGGGGAAGGAGAAGGTGATGTCTAGCTTGTCCTGAGAGGCTGACCACGTCTCAACTTGAACCCCTTGATCCACGACACCAGAACACTGCATCACACCAGAAAGCCATGCCTGCGCACACACACACACAAGACAGTATTTTCAATTTCACTTGCGAGTCTTCAATACAGTGACTAAGTAAGTTTCACCTGTGTCTTCGTCACTAATTGTAGATGGAATCAGACCGCTCCTCACCTCAGGGGAAGGAGAAGGTGATGTCTAGCTTGTCCTGAGAGGCTGACCACGTCTCAACTTGAACCCCTTGATCCACGACACCAGAACACTGCATCACACCAGAAAGCCATGCCTGCGCACACACACACACAAGACAGTATTTTCAATTTCACTTGCGAGTCTTCAATACAGTGACTAAGTAAGTTTCACCTGTGTCTTCGTCACTAATTGTAGATGGAATCAGACCGCTCCTCACCTCAGGGGAAGGAGAAGGTGATGTCTAGCTTGTCCTGAGAGGCTGACCACGTCTCAACTTGAACCCCTTGATCCACGACACCAGAACACTGCATCACACCAGAAAGCCATGCCTGCGCACACACACACACAAGACAGTATTTTCAATTTCACTTGCGAGTCTTCAATACAGTGACTAAGTAAGTTTCACCTGTGTCTTCGTCACTAATTGTAGATGGAATCAGACCGCTCCTCACCTCAGGGGAAGGAGAAGGTGATGTCTAGCTTGTCCTGAGAGGCTGACCACGTCTCAACTTGAACCCCTTGATCCACGACACCAGAACACTGCATCACACCAGAAAGCCATGCCTGCGCACACACACACACAAGACAGTATTTTCAATTTCACTTGCGAGTCTTCAATACAGTGACTAAGTAAGTTTCACCTGTGTCTTCGTCACTAATTGTAGATGGAATCAGACCGCTCCTCACCTCAGGGGAAGGAGAAGGTGATGTCTAGCTTGTCCTGAGAGGCTGACCACGTCTCAACTTGAACCCCTTGATCCACGACACCAGAACACTGCATCACACCAGAAAGCCATGCCTGCGCACACACACACACAAGACAGTATTTTCAATTTCACTTGCGAGTCTTCAATACAGTGACTAAGTAAGTTTCACCTGTGTCTTCGTCACTAATTGTAGATGGAATCAGACCGCTCCTCACCTCAGGGGAAGGAGAAGGTGATGTCTAGCTTGTCCTGAGAGGCTGACCACGTCTCAACTTGAACCCCTTGATCCACGACACCAGAACACTGCATCACACCAGAAAGCCATGCCTGCGCACACACACACACAAGACAGTATTTTCAATTTCACTTGCGAGTCTTCAATACAGTGACTAAGTAAGTTTCACCTGTGTCTTCGTCACTAATTGTAGATGGAATCAGACCGCTCCTCACCTCAGGGGAAGGAGAAGGTGATGTCTAGCTTGTCCTGAGAGGCTGACCACGTCTCAACTTGAACCCCTTGATCCACGACACCAGAACACTGCATCACACCAGAAAGCCATGCCTGCGCACACACACACACAAGACAGTATTTTCAATTTCACTTGCGAGTCTTCAATACAGTGACTAAGTAAGTTTCACCTGTGTCTTCGTCACTAATTGTAGATGGAATCAGACCGCTCCTCACCTCAGGGGAAGGAGAAGGTGATGTCTAGCTTGTCCTGAGAGGCTGACCACGTCTCAACTTGAACCCTTGGTCCACGACACCAGGATACCAGGAGAAGATGAAGGCTAGAGTTTTTTTGTCCCTGCAAAGCACACGGCAAAGTCACTGAAGACCTAAGTAGGGAGATAAATTAAGTAAAATGATTCAAGGAGGTGTGTGTGAATACAACTGATTTATTTACTACAGATCTGACTGAGTTACTAATGTGTTAATGTTTCTGTCTCACCTCGTACTTCTTCACAGCTTTCTTCAGGAGGCTGACCACGTCTCAACTTGAACCCTTGGTCCACGACACCAGGATACCAGGAGAAGATGAAAAATGAAATTACTTTTATGAGGCTTTTTTTTTTTTTACACTTTTGAAACAGCTTTTCCAATCAGTATTTATTTTTTTAGCACCCTTTTTAAATTGTAATATATTTCTCTGTTAAACATACATCTAACATTCATCTTTTAATATATTTCCCTTTCAAAGCATTTAATTGAACTGTCACTGCCGGGTGATGTGTGTGCATGCGGTGCATGCAACATTTTCATTCATAAAATGCTAAAATCGGGGACATTTTCGGGGACAGCTTTAGCTGGGACAGGTCATCCAAAACAGGGACTGTCCCCGGAAATCGGGGACGTCTGGTCACCCTACCATAGGCTGCACAAAAGTCTGGCATCTTTCATGGCTCGGACCGCGGTTGAACTTCACCCTGTAACGTTACCAAGATGGCGGTGCTGTTGACGTACGATGAGAAGCGGAAGGCGGCATCTTGTTAAAGGGTATATATATAACAACGCCACTAAAGTAAATGTTGGTACTTTAACGTTACTTACATTTATAAACCAAACCTGGGGTCCTGCGCTCCTCCTGTAACAATGGGATTGCACTGTTGCCAACTCCTCAGTAAGAAAAGTAGCTATTGGCTGTCCTAAAAGTCGCTAGAAGTCGCTAAATGACGTCATCGCCTAATTTGCATAATTGTCCATATGCATGTAATTGTAATGGATGCTGTAGGAGAGAGGAATAACATCGTGGGAGAGACAAAAACTGAGTAAAAAAACACCCTGAATATGTTTAGAACTACAAATGAACCTTTTTTCAGTGATTTATATTAGACAAAGAAAATTTTACATTTACATCCCGCCCGGACTGTAAACCAGGTCGGGATCAGCCAGCGGCGGTTCCGCGCATGTGCGATTCACTTGCAGTCTGGACGTGGAGGGGTTAACGTCTCCTGCTCTGACTGCTGCTGGGAGGGAGGACTGGGCCACCTGTGAGTGCTTTGGGGCGAGAGAGGAGCTCACGGCAGCATCCGCTGCCCGTTGAGAAGACTAAGAATGATACGTGCTCTCACAACAGAGTCTCCAGAAGTCTTCAATAACATCAGAAAAAGTCGCTAGATTTGTCACTAGTTGCTTTTTTGAAAAAGAGTCGTTAGAGGGGTCTGAAAAGTCGCTAAATATAGCGACAAAGTCGCTAAGTTGGCAACACTGTGGGATTGTTCCGTACTGTTGTTTACACACGGACTGCATTAGTTGAAGCACCGCACATGCGCAGTTGTTGTTGTACCTGCAATGAGATTAGATTGCATTGTAAGAGTGACTTACGGCAAGTGTTAAATAAAGTCCCTGTGAGTAAGGGTAATACTCGACCGTCCAGTTTGTATAGTCTAGAAGAGGCAGAGCAAACTGAAACATGGTGGCAGCGGTCCGGCTGACGACCAGCGGATTTACAGCGTGAAACACCGTAACTACCGACACGCAGCCCAGATGAGAGTGTGGAAGAATACACACGGGTTCACAAGTGAGACATGGAGGGATTAAAACCACCCGCACAGTGGGATATGGACGCAAGCAACCTGGCGAAGTCCTGGAAATCATGGAAAGAGGAGTTTACTCTTTACATGGGACTAGCAATGCCAGACGCGGACAAGACTGCCAGAGTGATGCTGTTTCACTACCTCATCGGGGAGCGTGGAAGAGAGCTCTGCAACACGCTAATGAGTGGTGTGAGTACAGCAAACAGGACTGTGGATCGTATGTTAGCAAGGTTTGATGAACATTGCACTCCCAAAATCAATGAGACTGTGGAAAGATATCGCTTTTTTGCAAGGAATCAAGGTCCAAATGAAACGATCGACAAATACGTCGCAGATTTGAGGATGCTAGCCAGCACCTGCAATTTCGGTGGGCTACAAGACTCCCTTATTAGGGATAGGATCGTTTGTGGCACACACAGTTCAAGTTGGAGAGAAAGACTACTCAGAGAGGATGATCTGACACTGGATAAATGCCTGCAGGTGTGTAGAGCTATGGAAATCTCCCGTGAGCACAGCAAGACTATTGAGGGACAAGTGGTGGAGGAAGTTCATGCTTTCCAGCGGAAAATAAAGACAGACAAAAGTACAGAAATATCATGCAAATTTTGTGGCAGAATGCATGAAAGACAGAAAACAAAATGCCCTGCTTTTGGGAAAAGATGCAAAAAGTGTGGGAAAGAAAACCACTTCGCAGTGACCTGCAGGAGCAAATCGAGTCACAGAGAACAGAGGAAGAAAGTGCACGCTGTTGCAGAACAGGACTCAGACTCCTGTGAGGATATAATGACAGTCACAGCAGTTACACAGGAGACGGAGGCTGTGAATCACTTAAAGGACATGAGAATGACACAGAATGAAACGCAGCAATTGTTTGCTGGAATGATGATCAACAACAACCTGGTGAACTTTCAAATTGACTATGGAGCGACATGCAATGTTATACCAGTACACATGCTAAATCCAGACACACAGATTGAACACACAGATAAAGTGCTAGTGATGTACAACAAGTCCAAGTTGCAAATGCAAGGTCAAAGTAAGAAATCCCAGAAACCAGAAGTTGTACAGACTGGAGTTTCAAGTTGTGGGAGAGGACTGTAAAACACCCCTGCTTGGCAGGAAAGCTAGTGAAGCCATGAAACTCATTAAAGTACAGTATGAGAACATATTTGCCACTGACTGTATTGTGTCCACAACTGACACCAGTGAGTCTACATGGACTTTAGACGAGATAATGACTGAGTTCAAGGATGTGTTCACAGGGGATGGATGCTTGGAAGGAGAATACAAAATGGAGATTGACTCCACTGTCGAACCTGTGAAACTCCCAAAGCGAAGAGTCCCTGTGGCTATGATGAAACCCCTACGAGAGGAATTACAGAGTCTTGTGGACAGAGAGATTATTGCACCAGTTGACTGCAGTACAGATTGGATAAGTGGCATGGTATCTGTGCAGAAACCAAATGGAAAGCCCAGAATCTGCATCGACCCAAGACCGTTAAACAGGGCTCTGAATCCAAATAAACACAAGAAGTTTGTGCTCTAAAAAAAAAACAAACAAACAAACAAAAAAAAGGATCAGCCCTACGATAAGCTATTATGGCAAGGCTTAACTATACAGACCAGTGAGCAGTGATAACTAACATGTCTTTGGGGTCATCAGGTGGGAACCTCCTTTCACCAGTGTTTCGTCTAGTTGGTCCCACGACACCTCCAGGAGGCTAGACTCTGACGTCCCAGAGACACTCCCCTAATGCCAGGTCTCACTGCTCCCCGCACCGACCCAATAACCTCCTTTACCTTACCTATGCTACCACAGAGGAGGTAGACCCAGGGAAGGAAGCCTTGTTAGGCTATCACACTCCCCCGCCGGGTTAGGCTGTACAGTCTACCTCCCCAGGACGAGCCCTCACAACAATGACACCTCCAGGAGGCTGGACAGTGATCTCAGCCCAAACAGCACTGCCAACTTCAACCAAGCCCAGGCTCCGTTTATGCGAGCTCCAGGCAGAAGCAATGCTGATACTACCTTTACTAGCACATTCACCATACTCTATTTCACACGCTACATAGCATAACTACAATGTAAGCTAAAGTTAAAGGAGATAAATGAACTCACAGGATCAGCAAACACACTCACTTTGCAGCATGGTCTCAAACAAAATGGATTCAAATAGGCCACTCCCACACTTAAATAACCTTCCTCTTCCTGGATTTCCTTCTTACTTACACATGGCTTTCTCAGCCCAAACAGCACTGCCATCTTCAACCAAACCCAGGCTCCATACATGCGAGCTCCAGGCAGAAGCAATGCTGATACTAGCTTTCCTGTCACATTCACCATACTCTATTTCACACACTACATAGCATAACTACAATATAAGCTAAAGTTAAAGGAGCTAACTGGACTTACAGGATCAGCAAGCACACTCACCTTGCCGCATGGCCTCAAACAAAATGGATTCCAATAGGCCACTCCCACACTTAAATACTTCCTCTTCCTGGATTTCTCCTGACAGGAAGTGGATCTCTCCACCTGATCTCAAGGAGTTATGTGCCCTGCTTAGTAGTTCCCCCTGCTGGCCCCCAGCTGACATTATTTCTTCTGTAATAGATAAACTGGCTGCATTTAATTGCTTCATCTGACATTTCCCTCACTGTCTTCCTCAAATTCTGTCCCCGCACTCCGAGTTCCCCCAGGAGTGAGACAGTTGATCTTGCTATGAATCCCCTACACCCCACTTCCACTGGACAAATCCTAGTCTTCCATCCTCGCTGCTCAGCTTCTGCTCCTAAGTCTGCATATCTAAGCTTTTTTCTTTCATAGGCTTCTTCCACTGAGTCTTCCCAAGGAACTGTCAGCTCAATGAAATAAACTATCTGTTGACTCACTGACCACAACACTAAGTCAGGCCTCTGCCTGGTACAGACTATTTCCTGAGGAACAACAAGCTTTCCCCCTAAATCTACTTGCATTGAAACGAAACCATTTCCCACTGCCTACTATAGATGACATTTTGCCAGACATGTCAAGGGCAAAAGTTTTCACTGTCTGCGATGTAAAACATGGATTCTGGCATGTGAAGCTAGCAGCAGAATCAAGCTAGAGGTTTTTCAACGCAAGCTGATGCAAGCACTGGAAGGCTTTCCAGGCATCCACATCATAGCGGATGATGTTCTCATCACAGGAGAAGGTGAAACAATGCAGAGCGCGAGTCTAGACCATGACAACAAACTCAGACAGTTTCTTCGGAGATGCAGAGAGAGGAACATCAAGCTGAATGCAGACAAACTCAAGCTCAGAAAGCAGGAGGTGCCTTACATCGGACACCTTCTCACAGCTGAGGGTTTGAAAGTCGATCCTGAGAGGGTTCGAGCCATCACAGACATGCCACCACCTACAGACGTTAAAGGCGTCCAGAGACTAGTAGGGATGGTGAACTATTTAGCCAAGTTTTATGAACACCTCTCAGACGACTGCGAGATACTGAGGCAGCTCACACACAATGAGAGTCTGTGGGAGTGGTCTGATGTGCAGGAAAGTGCATTCAAGAGACTAAAAGACAAAATAACACAGGTACCGGTCTTAAAATACTATGAGCCAGAGATGGAGCTGACACTGCAGTGCGACACCAGTGAAACCGGGCTGGGAGCAGCTTTGACGCAAAATGGCAGGCCTGTGGCGTATGTGAGCAGGGCACTCACACCGACAGAAAGGGGTTATGCCCAGATTGAAAAAGAGTGCCTCGCTATAGTATTTGGGATGGAAAAGTTCTATCAGTATACATATGGCCGACCTGTTAATGTACAATCAGACCACAAACCACTTGAAAATATCATCAAAAAACCACTGTGGAATGCACCAAAACGACTTCAGAGAATGTTGTTGAGACTGCAAAAATATGACTTAAATGTCACTTATGTTCCAGGTCGTGACATGCTACTGGCCGACACATTGAGCAGAGCATATCTGAAAGACAGCCACAAGAACCAGATAGACTTGGAGATTGAGGTTGTCAACATGGTGGCTTTTGTACCAATCTCAGCAGAGAGGCTGAGTGAGATACGTGCTGCAACACAGGCAGACAAAAAGCTGCAGACCCTGATCAACACCATACAGAAAGGGTGGGAACGATACAAGAAAGATGTACCTGTTGGCATAATGCAGTACTTTTCCTTTCAGGATGAACTGAGCACCCAGGATGGACTTGTTTTCAGGGGAGAGAGAGTTGTCATCCCTGAATCACTACAGGGAGACATCACCCAACGGATTCACTCATCACATCTGGGGATTGAGGGATGCTTGAGGAGGGCAAGAGAATGCATTTATTGGCCAGATATTAATGAACACATAAGAACATTTGTGACAAAGTGTGACATATGCAGGTCAGCAGATCATAAATAGCAGAAAGAAACACTTCAGCCGCACGAGATCACAGACAGACCACGGGCTAAAGTGGGTACTGACCTCTTTAGTTTTGAAGGCAGAGATTATCTGATAACAGTAGACTACTTTTCCAACTTTTGGGAAATTGATTACCTCCCAGACACAATGTCCAGCACAGTTATCAGGAAGTTAAAAGCACACTTTGCCAGACAGGGGATCCCAGACATTGTCATTTCTGACAATGGGCCCCAGTATTCATCCAGAGAGTTCAAAAAATTCAGCCAAAATTGGGAATTCACTCACATCACTTCCTCACCTGGCTACCCGCAAGGTAACGGGAAAGCAGAATCAGCTGTAAAGACAGCCAAGCGGCTTATGAAGAAGGCGAAAATGTCTGGACAGGATCCATACCTGTCCATACTTGATCATAGGAACACCCCAACACAAGGGCTGAATGCAAGTCCGGCACAGAGGCTCTTAAGTAGAAGGACAAGGACTCTGCTGCCCACCAAAGAGAGTCTTTTGAAGCCAAAGGTGATGGACATCAGAGCAGGACTCGTACATAACCAACAAAGACAAGCAAAGTACTACAATCGTACAGCAAAGGACATGGAGACGCTAAGAGCTGGGGACTGTGTGCGAGTTCAGCCACTTCAGCCAAACACAACCTGGAAGAAAGCAACGGTGATGACCCCGGTGGGTCATAGATCCTACAAAGTGGAACTGGACTCAGGCAGTGTCCTGAGAAGGAATCGCCGTCACCTTAGGCGAGCCATGGACACTGAGACAGTTGATCCAACACCAACGAGGCCTGTGGATACAGGAGAGACACAGGTGCCCTTGTCTACACAGGACACTGGTAACCATCACAGTGTTATTACATGGTCTGGACGAGTAGTTCAGAAACCTAGATACTTGAATGACTTTGTGTGTAAATGAGGGGACAGTGACATGAAAAAAAAATGTTCCTAAACTTTCATACGGTAATTTTATTTGTTTATGAAAAGCTACACTGTATAGAGTTTATAATGTAAGTGTTTGAAAGCTATGGTTAAGTTGCACTTTATACCCAGAGGATATGTTGTATTTGTGAATATGAATAGTGTTTAAGGAGTTGACACAAAGATATTCTGCTATCAGATGAAGACTGAACAAAGAGAGAGAGAGAATGAAAATCTTTTTCTTTCACTGTTGTTTATTTTGTTTAAAAGAAAAGGGATGTAACAATGGGTTTGTTCCGTACTGTTGTTTACACACGGACTGCATTAGTTGAAGCACCGCACATGCGCAGTTGTTGTTGTACCGGCAATGAGATTAGATTGCACTGTAAGAGTGAGTTACGGCAAGTGTTAAATAAAGTCCCCGTGAGTAAGGGTAATACTCGACCGTCCAGTTTGTATAGTCTAGAAGAGGCAGAGCAAACTGAAACACCTCTGACTCATGTGGTTGTTTAGTTCTTCTTCTCCTCTCACAAAACACGACCGCATTGCATTGTGGTATACCGTATACCACTAAAAGATTCTGTGGCGGTACGCAGTACCAGGAAGATGGGAGAGCGGCTGCCTGCTATAAAGCCCTCATTCAGAACCAGTCACGGCCGCACTCTGGGTCAGAAAATAGATCCGCTAGCAATATGCAGTCTTGAAAACTACTTTGTCTGTTTAAAAATTGCTTTTAACTCATTCCGAATTGTTTCTGAACTGTCCGTGCTGTGATTTAGTCCATGCTGGACGGAGCCTTGGCCGGGCATCTCCCTCTCGTCCTCAAGGCTCTTGCCCTGCTTCTCTCCCCCTCCCCTCGGAGAGAGCCCGGTGGTCTCTTCTGCGCCCAGCCTTCAAAACGTGTTCCACACGTTTAATGTCTTTACGTTCGTTGCAAAATGTCCCAATTAAAATCAGTAGGAGAGTAAGCAGTTGTGTTTCGTGTTATTTTGTTCAATTTTAACGATACAGAACAGCTCGGAAAAGAAACTGCTTATGATCTAACGACCGGAGAGTTCACTCAGCAGTACGTGAGTGCGCATGCGCTTCTACTTCCGAAATACAGCGGTTGCTATGGGGATCGGTGCGTTTGATTTAATGCACTGGGACGTAACGTCGGCAACAACGGGAACGCCCACAAATGTAATGTAACAGCCGGTTAGAGCCGAGGGGGAAAACAATCCCGCCCCCCCCCGTCTGCTATACAGACAGTAATTACAGTGATTTTGAAGGAGTAATTAAGTTAATCTTCTCTTAAGTGGATGTAATATGTAGAGATGCCATCTAGGCCGTTTTTCTTCGTTTTTTTTAAAGTCTATATTTTGCTTTACAAAAACATGAAAAAGCAGCTGTGACCAAGCTATCACGAGGTGAGTAGCATTGTAAGCATAATTAATAGCGATATACTTCAGTTTGTCTGTGTGTTTTTGTATGCAAGCCGGTCTGCTGCGGTCTGCTGACAGTCCAAAATGGCGGCGGTAGGACGAAACCATGGGCGAGTCTGTTGTTCTATTGAGCTTCGCCTCTTGGTATCCATGCTCTTTGCCCTCACGATGGCGGAGCGGGAACAGTTTCCGGGGCATGGGACAAGGAAGAAGGCGGGCAAGGCGGCAAGCGCACGTAAGAATAATGAGAAGGACCCTGAACGTAGGGTCATTGCCCTGGCTGAAAACTCAGGATGGCTCCACTGAAGTTGTGTGCGAATATTTCGTGGCTGTTCACGGAGCTCCCAGATTTCAGTCAGAGAATATACGCGGCTGCCTCGGCTGGCTTTCAGGCGGTGGAGGCAGCCTGGCTCTACGACTCCGACCTGCAGGAGCTTCAGAGAGCCAGAGAGGCTACAGGAGTGGAGGTAGTCCTCATCAACACCCCGCCTGGTAACATTACACAGCACACACACCGAGCTTCAGTCAGCAGCCTTTCACTTCAACCACTGAAATGCTTAGCAATGTTCAGAGGATGATGATAAGGTATATGTGTGTTGCAGGAAATACTAAGAAGGGTGAACTTGGTTTGGGAGCAGTTCCAGGCAGAGAGGCAGAGTTCAGACAGGGTCTGGATCAGGCTCTGAAGTATGCCAGAGCGTTGAACTGTACAAGGTGAGGCGTGGCCGAGTGAAGGCAACTTTAATATATCGGCCGTGGTTCTTAACACTGGACTGTTTTAATTATTGAAGTAGCCTGTTTAGTATCACAGAGACTTGTGGTCAGTGGGATGTGAGAATTCTTAAAATAACATCTGTACGGATTGTTGTTGTCTTTTTTTTCCTCTGAAAATGTGAACCTTATTGTCAAACACAATTTATTTAGTCTCTGTAGTTGAAAGGACAGGTCTGCCCTGCAGCACCAAACTGAGATTATGCTGATTTATATGAGAAATCATGTAGACTAGAGGTTGAACCATGAACAGAAATTACATATCACCTGTAAATCATTTTAATAAATTAATCTATCATAATGAAAACAAGGCACGGTTCACATAGGCATTTCTAGCCCATTTTTGGGGGTGCTGAAGCACCCCTAAATTGAACCCCTGCACCCCTAAAATTTGAGAGATTTAAAAAAATATATATTTTTTTACTGTATGTCCCTTGTTAACAAGCGAGAAAAGTGTCAAAACCATACAGTACTTGGATGCAACGTAATATTTTAACAACAAAAATACAGCAGCAGCATTTTTGGTATTTTTGGTACTCACTATAGGGGGCTAGTTTACTCCAGAAACATACAGTACAGGCCAAAAGTTTGGACACACCTTCTCATTCAATGCGTTTTCTTTATTTTCATGACTATTTACATTGTAGATTCTCACTGAAGGCATCAAAACTATGAATGAACACATGTGGAGTTATGTACTTAACAAAAAAAGGTGAAATAACTGAAAACATGTTTTATATTCTAGTTTCTTCAAAATAGCCACCCTTTGCTCTGATTACTGCTTTGCACACTCTTGGCATTCTCTCCATGAGCTTCAAGAGGTAGTCACCTGAAATGGTTTCCACTTCACAGGTGTGCCTTATCAGGGTTAATTAGTGGAATTTCTTGCTTTATCAATGGGGTTGGGACCATCAGTTGTGTTGTGCAGAAGTCAGGTTAATACACAGCCGACAGCCCTATTGGACAACTGTTAAAATTCATATTATGGCAAGAACCAATCAGCTAACTAAAGAAAAACGAGTGGCCATCATTACTTTAAGAAATGAAGGTCAGTCAGTCCGGAAAATTGCAAAAACTTTAAATGTGTCCCCAAGTGGAGTCGCAAAAACCATCAAGCGCTACAACGAAACTGGCACACATGAGGACCGACCCAGGAAAGGAAGACCAAGAGTCACCTCTGCTTCTGAGGATAAGTTCATCCGAGTCACCAGCCTCAGAAATCGCAAGTTAACAGCAGCTCAGATCAGAGACCAGATGAATGCCACACAGAGTTCTAGCAGCAGACCCATCTCTAGAACAACTGTTAAGAGGAGACTGCGCCAATCAGGCCTTCATGGTCAAATAGCTGCTAGGAAACCACTGCTAAGGAGAGGCAACAAGCAGAAGAGATTTGTTTGGGCCAAGAAACACAAGGAATGGACATTAGACCAGTGGAAATCTGTGCTTTGGTCTGATGAGTCCAAATTTGAGATCTTTGGTTCCAACCGCCGTGTCTTTGTGAGACGCAGAAAAGGTGAACGGATGGATTCCACATGCCTGGTTCCCACTGTGAAGCATGGAGGAGGAGGTGTGATGGTGTGGGGGTGTTTTGCTGGTGACACTGTTGGGGATTTATTCAAAATTGAAGGCACACTGAACCAGCATGGCTACCACAGCATCCTGCAGCGACATGCCATCCCATCCGGTTTGCGTTTAGTTGGACGATCATTTATTTTTCAACAGGACAATGACCCCAAACACACCTCCAGGCTGTGTAAGGGCTATTTGACCAAGAAGGAGAGTGATGGAGTGCTGCGGCAGATGACCTGGCCTCCACAGTCACCGGACCTGAACCCAATCGAGATGGTTTGGGGTGAGCTGGACCGCAGAGTGAAGGCAAAGGGGCCAACAAGTGCTAAACACCTCTGGGAACTCCTTCAAGACTGTTGGAAAACCATTTCAGGTGACTACCTCTTGAAGCTCATGGAGAGAATGCCAAGAGTGTGCAAAGCAGTAATCAGAGCAAAGGGTGGCTATTTTGAAGAAACTAGAATATAAAACATGTTTTCAGTTATTTCACCTTTTTTTGTTAAGTACATAACTCCACATGTGTTCATTCATAGTTTTGATGCCTTCAGTGAGAATCTACAATGTAAATAGTCATGAAAATAAAGAAAACGCATTGAATGAGAAGGTGTGTCCAAACTTTTGGCCTGTACTGTACATACTGTTTATGTGTATGTTGAGGAGTTGCTGTATCAAAATGAGTTGTCTTCCCCCAGAAATTAGGGTTATGATATGTTTCTTTTATGATTCCAATCCATTCCTCTTTTGCTGTGACTCAGCATTTAAATAACCTTTATCAGATTTGATGGTTTAGTCACAGACTTTCCCAAAAAGTGTTGTGCTTTTCTTTCACAAATGTGGGAATGAAATTGAGTTAAAATGTACAAAACAGTGAAATTTATCTTGCCTGGCCGGGCAGCTCTCTGGGTGCTCAGCACCCCTAAACCTCTGATCCTAGAATCGCCCCTGGTGGTTCATCTCGAACGAGCCTGATGGTATGAGTTTCCTCTGTGCTTTTCCTCCTATGACACGTCCAAATGTCTGCTGTGAAAAAGGCCTGTTATCTCAAGTGGAACTCAATCTTGTATAATAGCAGTAGTGGTAATGCAGTAGGGGGTCCCTGCTCTGTCCCGCTCTCAGTCCCCAAGAAGTGTGCTGGGATCCGAGGCCAGTTTTTGTTGTGTCCAAAGATTCCTGGTCTGCCACATGATGCCACTGGGTCCAAAAAGACTTTTTCCCCTAGACACATATATTGTGAAAGAGATCATTTATATCTGTAAATCAGTGGATACATTTTTTTGAGCTTCGAAACCACCCTGTATTGACTCATTCCGCTATGAGGATTTGATCCATTTGGAAAGTCTAGAAGAGCTGCAAGATTAATTAATTTTATCCCAATTCAGGTAATTTTATTACACAAAACAGAGCTTTTTTGGCTTCCTGTGCCACTTAGCAACATTAATAGGAATGAAAAGGGCCCCACCTCTAATGCTGTATCCAGGTCTCTTCATGGCCTGCAACCAATTTGACTCAAAAGCATTGACTATCATCATAGATAAAGACATGTCAAGCTTTTTACTCCAAAGAAAATTATCACTTTCATGTATTTTCATTATGATTCACTTGTTAGCTGATTTTACTTACCTGAAATTAAATGTGTACCGCAGATGCAGTGGTCTGATCTCAGTGTACACTTCTTTCCATTCACAGCACTTATTCACCTGTACAGACATTTAGTATCAGGTGTGTTCAGCTTTTTTTCCTGCTACTTTGAGTAACATTGACTTTTCCAGTGATTCTGATGAAATATCACTATTTTAAGCTTAGATTTGATTGTGTTACTTAATGGAAGCCTTTGTCACACATGTTGTGTTCAAGGACCGTCGGACATGTAACAATTCAACAGTATTTTCCGTTTTCGCAGTTTTTGGCCATAATAGGTGCAATTTTGGTTTTTAAATAAAAGGATTTTAATTTTTCAGATTTGCATATGTGTATGAAGTATTTGCCATGAATTTCTCAGGATCCACCTGATGGCAGGGAGGGTTCCTGGGGGCTCACACAGAACAGCGGTTGCCAAGGAGATGGAATCCATCTTTGTGCAGAATCTAAACTATGCTGCTGATATCCTATCAAAGGTTGGTGCCCTTCTCTGTCCAACATTACAACTCCTGGCAGTATGAATGTGGTGAAACTGGATTTCTACAGAAATTTAGTGGGATACTGCAAAGACAAAGGAGTATGGAAGATTAAAACAAGTGGAAGATATTAAATATGATTCAACTGATATTTACAGGAATTTGATATGCTACAGGAGATACTATACAATACACCCCGAGAATGAGAAATGTAAGTCTTAGAGGAAAAAACATTCATGAGTACCCATCACTAATTTGTGATTTTGATTACATTAGTCATGCACATGAATGAACTGACCACAATGTTAAACAGTATTGTAATATTTGAAAAAATTATAAAGTTGTTAAAGAGGCAACAGATAGGATTCGTTTATTTTTTTTTTTAGCTTGGTGCCACCTAGCCTCAGCGGTGTTGCTCGCACTGTCACAACGACCAAATTGACCGTGGGGATCAGAGATAATCAATAAAATGTAGGCTGTAAAGCCACCAGTATACCACTATGTATATGTAGAATGAGAAGGTGTGTGGACACTCTACTAAATAAATGAGTAAAGAGACCGAGCAACAATCATCAGATTTATCTGAAGAAAAAACAAATCGTAATGCAAATAATTATACTACAATGCACAGTACCAGTACAAACAGCTCACAGTAAATGATACCAATATGTACAGTATCAGTACAAACAACAGTAGACACGTAAGGGATAATGTATAGTGAGCCAGTGACTGTTGAAAAATAACTCCCAACAAGGGAATGGACGCGCAGCAGAGTTATTTTTCAACTGTCACTGGCTCACTATACATTATCCCGCTTAGAACATGGCTTACTACTAAAACATTCAAATGTTACAACTGGCATCAATATTATTAAATTGCTGGCAGAGTGTATTGACAGAGGAGAGGCGTTCACCAGACAAATGGGAGTGGAGGAGAGGATTTTACTCCACCTCTCCCGGTCGGAGATGCTGGGTGCCCAGTAGCTGTGAAGGCTGCCCTCACATTTATGGCCAGTGACCAACATGATCTCCCTGCTCTCCAGGCCAGCTTGGGAGAGCTGTGTGGACTAACGTTAACTGACTTTGATGCACCTCAGTCTAAGGCCTTTGCAATGAAAAGTCCAGTGTTCACTTAGCTGGGTGTAACTTAGCTGGGCGATGTCCGTGGATAGCTGCTTCCGTGAGAAGAGAACAGAAGGAAGGGAGGGGGGTATCACTGTCCGAGGGCTGCCATAGAATGGCAACGAGGATGTCAGCCGACCAACACTCGCTACCCGCTCCCTGGTTGCGGCGATTTGCGATGCTGACCAGCTAGGAATGAACTAGCAGCCAGTACAGTACAGTCCTCTCTGGTCTAGCTAACATTCAGCCGTGTTACTTACTGATCCATTAGAAAGAAAGCTAGCTGGACACCGGTGTTGAAGCCTCTTTGGTCACAGAGCTCCCTCCATCTCTTGAACGCCTGACTGAGGTTTACTCTTGTTTTTCCTCTTCTTCTATCACTCTCCTTTTTGCTCTTCATTGCCTCCTCACACAGAGGAGCTAGTTTTCTTTCGCTAGGTCGTTTTTCACTTGTTTCCAAACTTTGTCCGTCTGCCATTGTGCTCCTGACTCAACTATCTCATGCCCAACTCCTCATAAGGACCAGCTCCAGTCCCTGATTGGCTGACCGACCAGTTTCGCAATACATGACACGTTTCCTGCTGTAAAGCAGAGTCTTTCCATGAAATTTTGCCCCTGGTGGCAGAAGCTTATTACAAAGATTGCAAAGCCACTAAGTAACCTATGTAAACGCTGATAGTCTGATTTTACTGTGGTCACTACCCTGTGCAACCCACATTATTTTCATAATGATATATTTAGGAAAAGATGCTATCGGTTGCCTCTTTAAATCTGCAAAATCTGAAATGTAACCACATAACTGTCCAAAACCATAACAAAGCTTGTTACATAATTAGTAAGCATTACAAAACATGCCAGTGTTAGCGTAACAGTGTGTTGATGTCACATCACAATCCTGTTAGGATGCATTTCTCTGCAGTGCAGTGTTACAGTACATGGATATTGTAGTATTCATTTAGTTGTTGCATTGCTTAATGTGTCTGACAGTGTTTAAAGTTCAACATCTCATCACCCTCAAAAAATTGTGTCAGGCTACTGTCACTGTTTCTCACAGGAAGGAATCACTGGTTTGATTGAACCAATCAACACAAGGATTACAGATCCCAGGTATTTTCTGGACTCCCCTCATCAGGGTAAGACCACCGGTGCATTCGAATATCCACACCACTATACTATTTAGTATGGGAAAAAAAAAGATTCAGTATGTACCAATACATAGTATGTCAAATGCAGTGTGCCAAAAATAACAGGATGTTCTACTACATCCGGATGAATTTTGCAGTATGCAAGCAAGCATGCTTTTCTGGTTTTTCTGACCCACAGTCCTCTGCACAGCAGAAGATACATCACGTCGACTGAGCCACAGACAGATGACAGCTTGACAGAAGCTCACATCCCAGCTACATCAGCTAATCTCAAGCAGCCCAATCAACTGTTAGAACAGCATTTTTTTTTAACTGAATGCAACTCGTAAAAAAAACACTTGCTGCATTTTTTTTTATTGTTGCCAGACAACAACCCCATCATCTCCTTACCCTAAACCTAAACTTCCATTCATTCATTCAGTATATTCTAATTCCACAAATATGTATGTATGTATGTACGTATGTGGCTGGCTACCGGTTGCAAAGTGGAGCAACCATCGGTCACCATCACCTTCTCTACATGCATGACATCAAGTTGCTTGCTAGTAATGAGCGAGACATCGACTCATTGATCCTCCTCACCAGGATCTACAGCGATGACATTGGAACGTCATTCGGACTAAATAGGTGTGGTCAGATGGTGTCAAAGAGAGGGAAGATGATCAGAACCGAGGGGGTTGAACTACCAGAAAGCAGCATTGCAGATGTTCAGGATAGCTACAAATACCTTGGGGTCCTGCAGGCAAATGGGAACCATGAGGAAGTCGCAAGGAAGTCAGCCACAGCCAAGTACCTGAATAGTCAGCTGAATGGAAAGAACAAGGTCCGAGCCAGTCTGAGTGGATTTTTTTTTTAAATATATATGAACAGTTGTCTATGTGAGATTTTTTTCTGAGTCTGAAACCAGATAACTGCAAAAATTTTGATGCATTGAGCGCTCTCTGAATCATACACAAATTTTTAAGTGCTTAGAGATTCCCACCCCTAAGTGTGTGTGTTTGTGTCTTATTTCTCCCACTTCTCTTGGGGAAAACACACCTCCTGTCTGGCATACATAATGTCTGTCTGTCTGCCTGCCATGACTTTTATTTTGGCTCATTCTAATTTTTGTGTCTACAGCTGCCGCAATACTAGAGAAGGTTGGAAAGCCAAATATAAAACTGCAAATGGTGGGTGCTCTGGAAATTTGTCTGAACTTGAAAAGAAAAGAACAAAAATATATGATGAAAATCTTGACTTAACAGATGTCTGAACTGTTTCAGGATGTCTTTCATTGGCAAATAATGGATGGAAACCTGACACAAAACATACACAAGTATTTTCCCATAATTGGTGAGTAAGATTTAAGATAAAATAATTAATACAAATACAAATATTTAATGTCCATACACAAATAAATACAACAGAATAGCAGTCTAATGATAATACAGTGTTACACTGGAAACATGCCCCCTTACTTTGATTTTTGATGGGATTTTTGAATCCAGCCCTCAGTGGGTTGATGATTTTGGTTTTCATTGATCTTGGTTATGTCATTTTGTTCTCAACAAATTATACAGTGTACATCAATTAAGATTTTCAACTTAACTAATTTGTTCATCAAGATCTTATGTGTGATTTAAGTGTTCCCTTAATGTTTTCGAGCAGTGTATAATGATGTTCATGGGTGTTACTGACCACAGAACATGAGTGTAAGAAGTCTTGTCTCAGGTCATGTTCAGATTGCACAGGTTCCAGGCAGGAATGAGCCTGACAGTGCCGGAGAGCTCAACTACAGCTACCTGTTCAGCATGCTGGAAAACCTTGACTACCAGGGATACATAGGCTGTGAATACAAGCCGCTATGTGAGTGCTGTTTTTATTATTTTTGGAAATGGAAATCAATCAGAAAAAAAATCCATCTTTATAATCATCTGTGTCCACTTCAGGCTCCACAAAGGAGGGCCTGGGTTGGATCAAAGATTACTGCACACACAGCAAGTGGTGAGCACAGCTGTCTAGTCACAAAGCTGCGTATGTTTCAAGTGTTCTGCTTAAAGGGGAAGTTCCATTTTTTACAACCTGGATCTTATTTCTGGCATTAAATACGGTTGTTTACTCACCCAGATAAGTTTGGTGTCATTTGGAGTACTTCGGAACATATTTAGATCTGCGAGAACCGCGTAGATCCATATAGTGGGAATGATCGGGGCACCGACAATGAGGCTCTAAATAACACATTATCTGCAGCGAAACTTGTTCGTTTCACCAATATGTTTTTATGAATCGCTAGAGTTGCTTGTCATCATCTTCCGGGTCATTTATACATATATATTT